ACCTATTATGGCATTTCCATAGTCATTCCGAGATATATTGCCATGCAACTTTCCACCGTTCCGTTCATCATCATCATGACATACTTTACTTTTGTCATATTGCCATTGCATGATCATGTAGTTGACATCGTATTTGTGGCAAAGCCACCATGCATTATTTTTCATACATGTTACTCTTGATTCATTGCACCATCCCGGTACACCGCCGGAGGCATTCATGTAGAGTCATATCTTGTTCTAGTTTCGAGTTGTAATTCATATGGTGTAATCAATGAAAGTGTGATGATCATCATTATTAGAGCATTGCCCAAAAAAGGAAAAAAAAGAAAGGCCAAAAGAAAAAAGAAGAAAGGCCAAAAAAATAAGAAAGAAAAAAAATAAAAAAAATAAAAAGGGCAATGTTACTATCTCTTTTTCCACACTTGTGCTTCAAAGTAGCACCTTGTTCTTCATGTAGTGAGTCTCATAGGTTATCTTTTTCATACTAGTGGGAATTTTTCATTATAGAACTTGGCTTGTATATTCCTACGATGGGATTCCTCAAATGCCCTTGGTCTTCATGAGCAAGCAAGTTGGATGCACACACACTAGTTTTCATTTGTTGAGCATTCATTTATAGCTCTAGTGCATCCGTTGCATGGCAATCCCTACTCCTCATGTTGACATCAATTGATGGGCATCTTCATAGCCCGTTGATTATCCTCGTCAATGTGAGACTTTCTCCTTTTTTGTCTTCTCCACACAATCCCCACCATAATATTATATTCCACCCATAGTGCTATATGCATGGCTCACGCTCATGTATCGCGTGAAGATTGAAAAAGTTTGAGATTATTTAAGTATGAAACAATTGCTTGGCTTGTCATCGGGGGTATAGAAGTTGGGAACATCTTTGTGTGACGAAAATGAAGCATAGCTTAACTATATGATTTTGTAGGGATGAACTTTCTTTTGCCATGTTATTTTGGGAAGACATGATTGCTTTTATTAGCATTCTTGAAGTGTTACTATTTCTTTTGTCAATATAAACTTTTATTTTGAATCATTTGGATCTGAACATTCATGCCACAATAAAGATAAATTACATTGAGAATCATGTTAGGTAGCATTCTACATCAAAAATTCTGTTTTTATCATTTACCCACTCGAGGACGAGCAGGAATTAAGCTTGGGGATCCTTGATACGTCTCCAACGTATCTATAATTTTTGATTGTTCCATGCTATTATATTACTTGTTTTGAATGATTATGGGCTTTATTATACACTTTTATATTACTTTTGGGACTAACCTATTAACCGGAGGCCCAGCCCATATTGCTGTTTTATTGCTTGTTTTAGTATTTCGAAGAAAAGGAATATCAAACGGAGTCCAAACAGAATGAAACCTTCGGCAACGTGATTTTTTGGAAGAATATCATCTTGGAGACTTGGAGTTTGCGTCAGAAGATACTCGAGGAGCCCAGGAGATAGGGGGCGCGCCCCCCTACTGGGCGCGCCCCCGTGTCTCGTGGACCCCTCGAGCACCCCCCGACCGACTTTTTTCGCCTATATAAGCCTACGTACCCTAAAACCATTGAATATCAAGATAGATCGGGAGTTCCGCTGCCGCAAGCCTCTATAGCCACCAAAAATCTCTCGGGAGTTCGTTCCGGCATCCTGCCGGAGGGGGAACCCATCACCGGTGGCCATCTTCATCATCCCGGCGCTATCCATGACGAGGAGGGAGTAGTTCACCCTCGGGGCTGAGGGTATGTACCAGTAGCTATGTATTTGATCTCTCTCTCTCTCTCTCTCTTGTTCTCTCTATGGTACGATCTTGATGTATCGCGAGCTTTTCTATTATAGTTGGATCTTATGATGTTTCTCCCCCTCTGCTCTCTTGTGATGAATTGAGTTTTCCTCTTGAAGTTATCTTATTGGATTGAGTCTTTATTTGAGAACACTTGATGTATGTCTTGCCGTGTTTATCTATGGTGACAATGGGATATCACGTGCCACTTGATGTATATTTAGGTGATCAACTTGCGGGTTCCGCCCATGAACCTATGCATAGGGGTTGGCACACGTTTTCTTGATTCTCCGGTAGAGACTTTGGGGCACTCTTTGAAGTACTTTGTGTTGGTTGAATAGATGAATCTGAGATTGTGTGATGCATATCGTATAATCATGCCCACGGATACTTGAGGTGACAATGGAGTATCTAGGTGACATTAGGGTTTTGGTTGATTTGTGTCTTAAGGTGTTATTCTAGTACGAACTCTTGAATAGATTGATCCGAAAGAATAACTTTGAGGTGGTTTCGTACCCTACCATAATCTCTTCGTTTGTTCTCCGCTATTAGTGGCTTTGGAGTGACTCTTTGTTGCATGTTGAGGGATTGTTATATGATCTATCTATGTTATTATTGTTGAGAGAACTTGCACTAGTGAAAGTATAAACCCTAGGCCTTGTTTCCTATCATTGCAATACCGTTTACACTCACTTTCATCATTAGTTACCTTGCTGTTTTTATAATTTCAGATTACAAATAACTTTATCTACTATCCACATTGCACTTGTATCACCATCTCTTCGCGGAACTAGTGCACCTATACAATTTTCCATTGTATTGGGTGTGTTGGGGACACAAGAGACTCTTTGTTATTTGGTTGCAGGGTTGTTTGAGAGAGACCATCTTCATCCTACGCCTCCCACGGATTCATAAACCTTAGGTCATCTACTTGAGGGAAATTTGCTACTATCCTACAAACCTGTGCACTTGCAGGCCCAACAACGTCTACAAGAAGAAGGTTGTGTAGTAGACATCAGTGTGCGACAACAAAGCAACAATGCCTCCAGGAAGGTAAACGATGGCCACAATCGCCACCATTGTTGGTCATGGCACAAAGCCGAGACAGACCCAAGCTCCCACACCACCTCAGTCGCACATCATCCCACACGGGCTTCGGCAAGCCCACCAACCATCACCACCATCGAAGTTGCCCATCGATGAAGAAGAAGCACTGAGATCCGTCGCAGTCAAACTGCACCTAGGAAAGACCACCGGCAGCCAACCTCCAGAACGAGGCACCAGACCCCACAATGATCATCCGAACGCAGCGCAAAGCCGCCGTGCCCTGCCGATCACCATGCCGACAAGGAACAGAGGAGCGCTGCCCGAAGCAAAGAACCACCATGGTTCCAGACTGCAACCAAGCATCATCAGCACCGACACACCCCATGCACGCCACCACAGCCGTCGTCAGCCTTCAAATCTCTCCTTCCCCATCATGGATCGGACGGAGTATGAGTCCCACTAGGACCGGTGTGCCTGCCGTGCGAAGAAGAGGATAAGGGCCGCCAAGGCTCGACTCGCTGCCGACATGGCAGCTGCGGAGGCAGATGCGGCGGCGCGGGCGACCACAGAGGAGGAAGCCATCTACACCCGCAGTGTGAAGAAGCGGCAGCCCAGGAACATGCGCGCCCTCACCCCAATAGAGGAGGAAGCCATGGCCGTACTGCCACCAAAGGAGGAGAAGGAGGACAGCTCCCACGGCGAACAGATCCGCTCAATCCATGTCGCGTCTTTGACTGGTACTTCCACGAGAAGGACGAGAATACGCCGAGAAGGGTAAGGGCAGTCGCGGACGGTCTTCTCCACATACCAAACATGCGAAATTTTGGTAGTCCAATGGCATATATGTTGTAATGTAGCAAGTCGGAGATGGTCTTCTCCACCATAGTCAAACATGCTAAATTTTGATAGTCCAATGTCATATGTTGTAATGTAGCAACCGGAGATGTGTAATATCGTTCATGTAGTTGCACGAGTTTGTATGGATTTGAGGTATGCTAATTTAGGTGTTTGGTTATGAGAAGAGAAACTTGAGACTTGATCGGTCAGTCCGTGGAAATCGCCCGAGCGCGTCTATAGGCATTTGGGGGTTGGATTTGCAAGTCCGGTTGTAGATGCTCTTAGAGGGACGCGGTTTTTTACGTTCGCGTTCCATATGCAGCGCGAATCTGAGCCGGTCATCATGCATGATGTCCAATCAGTTAGGCCCACCGTTTTGTCAGCCATGCACCAGTCACATGCTAGTAGATTCGTTTCTCTAGCTAGGTCCTGTGCATGCTCTGCGCACGTTTCCCTCCCATGCTCCTGTTTAGTGGCAGGTCAGCCTCATAATTATATCTAGCCTGGATAATTAACGTCGCTAGTTACTTTTTTTGCAGGATAACGTCACTTTTTACTGTGGGATCATTACATGTTAACCACAACCTCATTAAAAAATCACGCGCATGCAATTTTTATAAAGGCTTTGTCAAACTTTATGAAGGATGTGCCTGAACTTTGCCATGAAAATCAAGAGGACTTTTGGAAAAAACAATAAAAATCGAAAAGTTCTTTAAGTTTTGGCGACAAAGTTCCAAAAATATGGTTAAAAAGTTTTCTACCTATTTTTCAAAAATTGCGAGCTATGTCGGAGTTTTCCAAAAGTTCTTCAATTTGTCATGACAAAGTTCAGATACCAGTTTAACAAAGTTTGGTTCTATTTAAAACTATTTAAAGAACATTCTTTGAGAACAATTCTAATAACATGACATTTTAATTCTGTGATATTTAAATTACTTCCAACATCATAGACTAGAGAGGTAATCACATGAATTAATTCCACAACCGGAAGGGTAAAGCGAATTTAATTACTACTGGATAAGACTAGCTAACAGCGTCACCTACTACCAGGCAAGACTAATTTGGGTCCTAGCGGGGTCTTTCTTAGTTTTCTCACATGCATCATGGGTAGATTTAGGCGGTCAAGATTCATGTTGTAAACGGAACGCGAAAGTAAATGGCTTTTCCCCTCTTAGAGGGTTCCAAGCTGAAAGAAGTTTAGTTTGTATCGGTTCCGAGTTGACCCCCGCGATTTGCCCGCACAAATTTCCCCTTCCGCTGCCGTCTACTCCGGAAACCAAAATCCGCCGCCGCCTTCCCGAGCTCGGACTCGACAGCCATCAAGCCATGGCCTCCCAACTAGGACCACCGTCGCCGTCGCAGGCGCCGGCGAAGTATGATCCAGCGGCCACCACCATCGCTGACATCGGCGACGACCTCCTGCGCGAGATCTTCCTCCGCCTCCCCTCCCTCCCCAGCCTCGTCCGTGCCGCCCTCGCCTGCCGCACCTTCCTCCGCGCCGTCCGCTCCTCCCCCGCCTTCCGCCGCCGCTTCCGGGCGCTCCACCCGCCTCAGATCCTTGGATACTTCAGCAACCCCTTGCGCACCGCCATCCCTGCCTTCGTCCCCTTCCGCAGCCGCTCCGACCCGGACCTCGCCGCCGCCGTGGTCCGCGGCTCCGACTTCTTGTTCACCCGTCTACCGGAAGACGGCGACGACACTAGGTGGGCGTTCAAGGGCGACTGCTCCGGCTACGTCTTCATCCACAACCAGAGCACCGACCAGATCGCTGTTTACAACCCCCTCACACAGGCGCTGAATGTCTTCCCCTACCCACCTCAGGAGGCCTGCGATTCCCGCTATCTTTATTTTCGCATCATCTTCTCGGAAGACGACCAGATGTCGTTCCGCGTGGTATGTGTTCGTCGCCGCAGGCGGCGGCGAAGAACCATGGTTCGCTTCTCTGTCTTCTCATCGGACAGCAGGGAGTGGCAGGGTTTCTCGTGGGTGGACACCTCAATGCCGCAGGCTGGGGATGATGGAGGTGATAAGTGCATGCTCTCGTCTTACACTGCTACGCCGGTGGATGAATTTGATAGATTAGTCTACTGGAAACACAAAAATCAAGCATATATAGTCGTCCTCAATGCTGGGACGCTGCAGTTATCTCGAATGGATTTGCCGCCGCACTTGAAAGATATGGACTCCACAGAATTTGAGCTTGGTCTGACAAAGGATGGGGAGCTCTGTATGGCTTTCACAGACCAGTTTGGTGCAAACGAAGGGATGCTTGCTGTTTGGTTTTGGAGAGCTGATGGTGGTGGTGTTGATAAATGGATGCCGCACAAGATTTTCCCACTGAACAAATTTGTTGATTTCTCTATGCGTTCAGAAGAGTACTATGATGTCACAGCGCAGGTTATCCGAGTCATAGATGGTTTTGTGTACCTGTCTGTTTATTATCTGTATACAAAGTGCTTCCTATCCTTTTGCCTGGAAACAGAGAAGGTCAACAAGCTCTTTGAGTATGGACTTGGCGTCCATCCCTACATCATGCCGTGGCCTTCTTCTTTGGTATGCAACAAGGTGAGCCTGTGTTTCAAGACGCCGGTAAAATTTATCCTGATGTTTGGTCCCTGAATCATATGCAATTGATTATTGTATAGCTGTGAAAATCTGCCATCAGTTTCATGTTTTGCTAGCATTTTGTCTTGAGGCATTGATTGAAAAGAGTTTGTACAAGATTGGTCAATTGCTTGAGTTGGTTATAGAGCAATGACTTAGTTATTAGTCTAGGTACATTAGACTCATTTGCGTAACTCATAATATATGTGTTCAATTGCTGATTTTATACAAGGATTCAATATTTTAATTTTTGCATGTGTTTTTTGCAGATTATATGATATCTCTGCATTGCAGTATCCTAGGCTTAAAAAAAACCTCTACACTAAAATAATGTCTACACAATGCTTTGTAACCCTGACCGCTATAAGGTGTTGGTGTAGCAAATATCTTACTTCGCTTCCGTTGCTTCGGTCGTTGCTAAATAAATCTGTCATGTACCATTTTTTTAAAAGATCTGTCTTGTACCACGTTTGAGTCAATAACCTTGCACAGTTTGTCTACACAAACACTTGAATCCTTACTTACACTGAAACCATTTTATGTCTCAGGAGGATTTAGAAACCAAGGTTACTGGAGAAAATGTGGCAGAAGATGGTCCTGTGGGCACAGAAGAAACTCCCTCTGTTCTTGTCACAGCATTGCGATCATATAAAGAAGCTCTGATTAATGGCGATGGGGCAAAAGTTGCAGAGATAGAGGCATTTCTACTTTCTATTGAGGACGAGAAGAAGTCTCTAGTTGTATCTCGAGGATAAGTGCCGCCATTGATGACTACGAGAGAAGGGAAGAAAGAGAGAGGTGATGACCAGTTGACCCACTTGTTTGCCAGTTGAACCAGCATCTTTGGAATGATCATGGTGTATTTCTTTCAATGAGATGGCCTTTTGTTTAGATGTGTTGGTACTTGGTACTTTGGTTTTTGAGACAATCATCATGTGCTAGATTCAAATGCTTGTAGGGCTTGTTTTTTTTTTTGAAATTTTCACCGGGGGAGGAGGGGGGCCCCCTCAACCACCTGAATATATTCCATCAAATTTGCCTAGAAGCCTCGCAGCTCCATACAGGATAGGTTCAAGTGAACCAGAATGTAACCATCAGTAGGAGTACGTATTTGGCAATATGGCCACTTAATTTGCATCTTAATTAGCTTGAGTACTTGTCTGTTGTGGGTCCACTCTTTTTTATCTTTTCACTGGTGATCCTGTCCTTTTTATTGTTTGCCTGGGTCTCAAGTCCTTTTGTAGCATTGTTCTTCCATTGTGGGGCAGTTGGTTTCCTTTTGCTTGGTCTTACATTATCTTATTTCACATCCATTGCTTCGGTCAACGCTAAATAGACGTATCCTGTATTATACTCCCTCTGCTTGGAAAAACTTGTTGGAGAAATTGATAAAAATAGATGTATCTAGAACTATAATATGTCTAGATACATCCATTTCTCCGACAAGTATTTCCGGACGGAGGGAGAAGGATCTGTAGCCTTGCACAGTTATTATATAGAGACACCTGAAACTTCAATTACACTGAAGTCATTTTATGTCTCAGGAGGATTCAGAAACCAAAGTTACTGGATGGCAGTTTAAATGTCACTAGCAAAAGAGCCCGTGCGTTGCAACGGGACAAAAATAATAGTTCTGTCCATTTTCCTAGCTCAATAATGTGAATTAAAAGAATGACTTTGTTTACTAACGAACAAAAATGTTGAATAATGTATGAAAATGCACGGAATTCAACATTAATACAAGCATTTGATTTTATGAAGAAAAAAAAGGGGGGGAAAGGTATTTGTTTACCTCCAGCCGGTAGGGCTGTCAACAAAACTCGCACTCAATGAACTGTTTCGTGCTCGATTAACTATGTCTATATGCTCAAGTTTGGGTTCAATATGCTAGGCTTGTTCGGTGGCCTGGCCAAAAAACACACTTTCGAGGTCAATGCAAGATGGCCACTTTGACTGGTTGATATGTCAAATAGGGAACATGTAATTTCCAATAGATCATGATGTATTGTGCTCTAAATTTGTACTATTGTTTCATCATTGGTCGCATTATTTGTGATTGGTAAAACCACTACGATAGCCTATAGCTTAAGGGCATCTGCAATGCTAGACTCTTGTGTAGGCACTTAGAATAAAAAGTTAAACATCAGAAAATTAAGAAAAAAGTAAGCGCCTTCTCCTTCAATGCCAGGCGCTTATCAGCGGCTCTGAATACGTAGACCCGGCTCCTCGTTTCTTTACTCGCGTGCCCAGAAAAAGAGAAAGCGCTCAATGCATCTATTGGTACTAGGCACACTGGGAACAACTAACGCAACTGCCGGTCTATCGGGAAATAAATCATGGCGTCCATCATTGCAGATGCTCTCAGAGAACATGCAATCTGTATATATCTGGCATCAAGTCCCACAAATAAATTTATTTGTACTTCAGTGCACATATATTCTGCCAGCAAACATATATGATTATCTGAAAGATGTGGTACACATATATTTGTATGAAAAGGCACTGCCTTTGGCTCAGTTAATCCATTTATAGCCATATATTAAAACAGAAGGGTACATATAAATTTTGCCCCTTGTATGATTTTCAAACGATGTATATGCTGAACAATAGCTTTGAATACATAATTCAATTCCAAAAAATAGTCAGCATACATATGTTACATACAGAGGCATTGTGGTCTTGAAGTTGCAACATAGATAATGAAATGTAATGCATGACATGCTTTGATCTAAAAAGGCTATGATAGTAATGAAAAAATATAGGCCGTGACATGCAACATTTGTAGTAATGTACGTTTATTGGGTGAGATTGGGATTAGACCACCACTTCCTATTAGGTGTAAGATGCTCGGCCCCTTTCTCAATTTCTTCTAACCAAGTAAACCGAATGGTTAGTGCGATTTGGTCCTCGGCAGCAAATGGAGTCTCTTCTTTCAACAAAAGAAGTGATTTATGACCTGAAAATATAACCAATAAACAATGAGTGAATAGTATCTTTATTTAAAAGGGATATAAATTATGGTTCTTTGATTGCTCTACCCATTAATCTGGCAAATATATATGTATCATAGTTTCCAAAAGCTATTCCCCAAGAGGATACAACAATAAGAAGCCAGGGGGTGAATCATTATCTTTTAGCATGGACACCATGATGTTTCAGCGTTTTATCATTGCATTGAACAGGAAAGAACCTTCTTGGCACAGGTGCATCACTATTACCTTCAGCAAAGCGAATACTACTACTGAACAACACTCATGGTGCAAGATAGAAATATTATTATAAGGTACGTTAGTTCAAGTAATCATTATGTACGATAGCAAGGGAAACATTACGTTGTATCAGTGTTGTTATATATTTGAAATCTCGGTGCACATCACATATATATTTTCTAGCAATACCAAACTTTGATCTCAAACAGAACATATCCACATTACCCTCAGGATAACTGAACAACGATACCTGACAGTGGGTCACCCGGTTCAATTCATCCATCTTGGCACCAAAATCATAAGTTCCGGGTAGCTCCAGCTTGCCAAATAAAAACTAAATGATTATGATTTATGCACCTAGGTGATATCCTTGTGCAGATCATGATGGTTATATTGTACCTATTGCCAACTTTGTTAGCTGCATCACAGAAATTAACACCTAAAGGGTTGAAGCACAAAATATTCAGTACTTACTATGAGTAAAGGAAAACCATAAAAATTATATCTATGGACTTGCAAAGACGATCAAGAGCAACGACTGATGTGAAAGCTTTCATTGGCTGTATATATGACTCGTCTTTTCCACCAAATTGTCACTGATAGCACAAACATTTGTGATTTGGAACTAGTTGGACAGAAAAATAGGATGCAAATTTATGTCCTCTCGCATGAAACATATCAGCTGCAAAAATCATGTCATGTAATAGAAGCTACCATTAATCATGTAGTGCAAGAGGCCACAAACACGCTCCATTTGGATCACCCTGGTAGCAGCCAAGCTCTCTGCTGTTCTGCCAGCAGTGAAGCCCCGGTGGTCCAGCCTGAGTTTTTGCATGGTTCATCTTCTCTGCACTGAACACTTTGGAGATGAGATTCTTTGTCTTCTCTGCTTTTGGAAAAAGAAAAAACATAAAAAGGCCTACAGATCAAACCGTTATATATATGACCACGTCAGTTTCTATAATTTATTGATTCGCTTAAAATTAAATGATGTCTCTTCATCTCGTGTTTGCTTAAATATATAATCAATTGCAAGGATTAGAGGCCGGATGTATGAAACTTTTTAATGCTTGGCTGCTGCAGAGTCATTACCAGTTACATGGACAGCCATGGAGATAAAGCTAGATAAGCAGGATGCCGCTTTGCAAGCTTACTCGTGCATCAATGAACCGTTGAAGAAATGAAATCTATCCACATACCCAGGTCTATGACAGGAGCCTAGAGAGGCCATCTAGTACTGTCACCAAGGGGAGATCACTTCTTGTTGAGATCGATCGAGCCTCTTCTCGAGCTCCCGGGTCCCGATGTGTCATGTGTTCCTCAACCTCAACACACCGTTCCTCTCCCCTTGCAGCCTCCTCTCTGCTGCATAAATCATATATTGCATTTGCAGCAATATAAATGCCACTCTCAGTACTCCACACCTTATACAATAGTAAAATATCTAGCTGATTCTCTACGGTTCTACATGCAAATTGAATACTGGAGAGTACCTAAAATCAAAAGAAGAGAAGGAGCAAGGATGTACACGTCTGCTGAAAAGTAGCTACAACTTGAAGAAGAAAAGGAGCAAGGATGTACGCACATGTTCCCTAAGCAGCCTCTCCACCTTACCACACTGGCTAAGAAGAATCCCTAATCCTCCCAGTCTCTCACTTGACGTTCTGTTCCCTCTTCCCCAAGCTCGCACCTGCACCTTCTTCTCCCTACCTGTCCTCCTCCCTGAATCCTCTTTCTCTCTTTTCCTCCAGGGAAAACTGAAGAGCCACCATGGCTTGGAGCTATCTACCTGCAAGGAATTCGCGCTGCCACGCCGGATCCCTCCGTCTCACGCGCCCGTCTGCCGTCGCCCAGCTCCGGCGAGCTCCTGCCTAGGTCGTCGGATCCCTCACTCCGGCTTTCCTCGTCGCCATCGGCGACCCCCGCCTCGCCGCCCACTTTCGGATCAGCCTCCCCAACCCCTGCCATGCACGGATCCGGCCCTTGCAAGCTCCAGCCGCCGCCGTCGCCGCGGCTGTTCTGCATCGAGCTGTTGTGCCACCCCCAACCGCTCGAGCCACCACGTTGAACCGATCCAGAAGGTGCGCTCGAGCATCATCTGTGTGTAGCCGGTCGGGGAGGGGTAGGCGCGCTGACGGGGTGGCCGGTGGCGGCGCACGGCGGCGCGCGGTGAGGGGCGTGGCAGGGGGTGGAGGGATCCGGCTTGCCTGCTCCCTCCCCATGCTCCCATCCGTGCTCCCACTTCATCCTACGGT